AGGGGTCCAATGTTGCCCCTGCTTTTCCTCTGGCTCCCCACATATCTGAAAAAGGACTTTTTATTGTCCTTGATGCTTGAAGCTAGTTGGAGTTCAGTTGCAGCCTTGGCTTTCCTGGTATGCTCCCTGCAGGATTTGACAGTGCAGATCCTTCTTGGAAGTGACTCCCATCCTCCATCCTTTGTAGGCCTTTCTTTTTAGCCTCAGAGGTCTGCTAGGTCCCTGGAGAGCCAGGGGGGCTGCTGTGCTCTCTTGCTGCCTTTCCTCCGAGATGGTTATGTGATGCTTACTGCACATTAGCCTCTTTTAATGTGCATTAAGTAAATAACGCAGGTTTTTAGTGACACTTTAATGCACATTAAAAGACGCTAATGAGCATTAAAGCACATGTGTAGATGCATCCTATGTTTTTGGCATTAAAGCTACTTAAGTCATATCTACATAATAAAGAGCGTCTATACATGAGTGCTGAGCTCTGATGAGCTAGAATTCTGCACTCCAGCAGCCTCCTGAATCTTGTGCATCAGTGTCCTTGCACTTAAAAATAGCGGCAGAAGTAAGTGCCCTGCCACCATTTTTAAGTCTGGGGATGCTGATACAGGAGACATGGCAGCTCTTTAAATTAGAGCAGCCCTCAGAGCTGTGTATATACACAGCATATACACAGCAAAATGAAGGTGGGATTACAGCATGTGTGTGGAGGCCAGTGCTTGCTTTAAGTCTAGCTAGCACAATAAAAAACAGTTGTGAAAATCTGACAACACAGGCTTCAGCCTGGTATAGAAACCACAGGATAAGCTTACTGAGGATAGTATGTACCTGCTCAGAGGATCTGCCCATGCTAAGGACCATGCTGCTGTCTTCCCTACTACTGCTACCTGAAATAGTGAGAATGAGGCTAGAACTGTCCACTTACATGTTCTACAATCAAAACCTTTGCTCTTCTGTTTCTAGGCTATGTAAGGCTACACGCAAACACTTACTGATGTGCTTAGCTTGCAAAAATGCAAGTAATCACCTTATATTTATGAAAAAATTTACTTGCTTAAAGTTAAGAATGGTTGCTACTGCTTGCTGGATGGTGATTGTTTGATAAACTACTTTTACAACCAACAAACAACTAAACAAAAATAGTGAGGTTTTGAATGGCCTCATCAATCTTAAGTGTAAGCTGCAATTGAGGTATTTTCCTTATTTTTGGCTGCCAGTTGGACATTAACAGACCCAAACACTGAGTTACTGATGCTGGAATAAAAGGGAATTCTACAACACAGATAAACAGAAATTATAACCAGGAAGGGAATTATTGCAGCCTTTAAAACCATTAACTTGGCTTTCATTTTAAGAGATCCATTCATTGGTTGATCTCCTGTCAGGATAGGACAGAATCAGGTATAAATGATGCATATCAGTTATGTGCTCTCAGGGAGAGGTTTCCAAATTTTAGAATAGAGAAAGAATCCAACTTCATGCCCCAGAAAGGGAATACCACATCTTTCACCTTACAATATTAAGTCTCTCCTCAGATCCCCTGTTAATAGGATTCCTTTAGCCAGCAGATGGATTGTGAATACAGGCAGTTTCATCTACTAAAAGACAACATAAATCATCATTGAGAAAGGAGAGACTGCAGTAAGGTTATCACCATACAGCCTTCTCCATGAAAGGTTTGCATTAAAGCATTAGTGAAATTAATTCATCTTTCATAAGAGCTTTGAGCAGTATCTGTGATCTATGATAACAACCAATTTCTCACTATGGGGAAAAAAAAATTACTCAGCCCTGATAGACTACACAAATCTCCTTTTTTAAAATGGCCTAACATTATCTGGAGTGTTGCTCCCAGAGGCATCATTTGAGACTCCTGCCCAACCAAAAGGACCCATAAATCAAGGCAGAAAGTTTTGTTAGTTTTATATGCAGTGGGTTGTAATTATTTTGAATTGCATTATGCCTCAATCATTGTAATTACTTTTAGATCATCCTTAAGCGGCAGTAATAAAAAGAAAAGAAATCAGTCTTAAACCAGTTCTCGCACACAAAAAATGTAAATGCATTGATAAAGGTCTGGCTAGAAACATACAAAAGCATGGAAATTTAGTACAAAGATTAATATACAACTCATGAATCCTGCTGGGCCACTGCTGACCCCCTTACTCCCAAGGGTGAGAGAATATTGAAGCCAATGGAACTACAGATGCAAGTACCTGTTCACCACTAGCAGCTGCTGCAGCTAGTGCAAAACACAGCAGCTTGCCTTCTGGCAGGTGTGGGGGATTGTCAGGAGAAAATAACTTCAATGGTCCAGACTCCGAACTGGCTCCAAATAGCATTTTTGGGAACAATTCAAAGTGTTATTTTTTACCTAAAAGGCCCTAAATAGTCTAGGTCCTACATACCTAAGGGACCCTTCCTGCCCACAGCTATCCCTAAGGTCAGCCAATAGCAACCTCCTGCAAGTACATCAGTATGCCAAGTTTTCTTGGCAAAAATTCGTGGAAGATCATTTTCAGTAGTTGCTCCTCAGCTCTAGACCTCCCTCTGGAAGCTTGCCAGCACCCAAGTCTGGACATCTTTCAGTAGTGCTGTAAGACCTTCCTTTTTTGGGCAGACTTTTAGCAAACAAAGTTAGGCTCGGATAGTGTTTGGAAGGGAAGGGATCTCTGATTTACAATGATATTCTAGCTCCCTTTTAAGTTATTTTGTTTTCTTGCCATTCCCCTACTTTATACATTATTCTGTTAATAAGTTATTGTATTATTGTAAGCCAAAACTAAAACTCAAATATTATTTAACCTATTTATTTTTCAAAATTTCAGTGGCCATGTCTACATGAGACACTGATTGTGTAGCAGAAAGCCCCCTTTTCTCTTGCCTGAAGTTGCTCTCCCCTCCTTGGATATGTTTTTCCTCTTCTACCTTTTCTTCTTTCCTCTTTCTTTCACTTTAAGATAAGGAATTGTGTTTTAAAATTTGTGGGTGCGCATTTTGTTTCTCCCCTTGTATTTTGGTATTTTTATCTATTTGTGTGCCATGGCATTACTTTTGTAGCTTATATTTTATACTCCTCACCTTTCAACTTTCAATGAAATGTGTTTAATTTCAGAAGTAAGCTACACATTGTAACAATGTTAACAAGGGCAGGAGTCAAACTGCCGCTTCCCTGTATCAGGCAGGCCCCTGAAAGAGTGAGTGAATCAGTGATTGAATGCGTAACACAGTAGCAGGCAGAAATTAACACCTAGGGAAACTGCAGATCAGCCAACGGAAGAAATCAATGGAGGACAACGTAGCAACCGGGAATTCTCTAAAGGTCACTGTTCAAGGGCGAGAAGCCCTGGTCTGAGTTAATCAACGCCGGGGACCAACTTTTGGGCTGAATATCTCCAGGTCGACCGCTCCCAGAGCCCTATTCAAAATTCATCAATGGACTCCCAACCCTGCATGTACATGTGGATGACCCCTGGGGCTGACAGATGCCATCTAGTAGCCACCGAGGGGGAAGTCCCATAAGGGTCAACGACTCCTGGATTAGGCAAACCTGAAAACTGGGGAGTCACCAAAGTCTGCCAAGGACAGATAAAAAGCAGTGAAAAGTGACCCTCAGCGGTGCCCGCTTGATCTCCAACTTGACCAGCACCTGACCTGTCCAGCCTGAAGGACCAGCCGGCGACCCCCTTCTGGAGGATAACACCACGCTGAAAGAAGCCTCGACGGCAGACTCCAGCACCTGTGGGATAGGTATACCTGACTCTTGTAGCTCACTACTGTGTGTGTGCGTGTGGGGACCAGCCCCAAGGTTTATGATTTAACTTCATTACAGTGCTTCAATCTGCCTAATAAACCAGAATTTTAAGGATCCCGAGTTGGACATTTGTAGCCAACAATTGCACAGTTGTTACTGCATAGTCATTTAGTATTTTTACAAACAAGTACTAAGTGGCTGTGCTGTAACCTAAGTTATTGTGCAGCAGTGCTGACAAATGTCTTTTTTGTGAGACAGTAGTGTTGCATCACGGTCGTTGCCACATGATGCTACTGCATGGTAGTATCAGGCTACTGAGCAGTCAGCATCTCATGTAGACATGGTCAGTATAAATTAAAATACTACTAAAAAGCATTTAAACTTACCTCTGTCCAGCCCCCCTTATGGAGGAAAACCTACACAGCTAAACAGATTCATATTTTTGATTGTATGCCATTTCTGCAAACTTAAATATAATATCAAATTTTTCAGACATTGCTGCATCCTTCACCATCAGCATGTAATATATATGTCTATATCGACATAGCGATATAGATATAGCGATATAGACATATCTCTATATCGATATGTCGATGTAGATATAGAGATATAGAATATATAAATTAATATGTAAGAATATAAAAAAATAAAACAAACAAAATCCTACAAGGAAGATTTTTGTTGAAGTCACCTCTAAAGTATGATTTTTTTTAAAGATTACATTATTTATACGCTAATCTCCAGCCGAGTTTGATAAATGCATTCTATTTATATTATAGGTTTTAGGAAATAAAAAGCAAATTCCCCACCACCACCTACAGATTTAAGACTAGATTCTGATCATATTTAAGTAGGAGTAAGGAAGCCATCAGTACAATTAAAATCAGATTTTAACACCTTATAGATTCACAGATTGTAAGGGGCTGGAAGGGACCTTGCAAGATCATTGAGTCCAGCCCCCCTGCACTAAGAGAACTGGGGTCAGGTGATTGCTCCACCTCTGGAGGGAGGTTATTCCAGTCTGGACACCCTGACTGCGAGGAAAGTTTGAAAGGTTGAAATGTTTTATTGGAATATACATACCTCAGGGAAATAATCCTGCGGAAACTTCTCTTTTTCCAGCATAGGCGTGCTTTCTAATGTATCTGAGTAGATTTCTTTTCCAGTAACTTTCTTATACTTCTTAGCTAAGAAGAAATATAAAACACAATTAATGCACATCTAGCAACTAGCTTTATACATTCAAACAACAAAAAAACAACAGAATTTCCAAAACAGATTCAGTCTTGGCAGAGTCATTTGCCATGTAAAAGCTGAGCTTTTCTTTATGGTAGGAAAAGGCAAAGTTGGAACATAGGTTAGGAAATATCCTAGTTGTGTTGGGTACTGTGCTGGTTTAAAGGCAATGGGAAATTTTAACTTTTTAAGTACTATTATTAGTTTCATGATACTTAACATACTTGTAGATCACAATCTTATAGGACATTTGATAGAAATTCCTGTCAAAATCATGGTCTCTGATATGTTTGATCAGGTCATTACTGATATCAAGAAATATACACCACATAGTATTGAACATGTTATATAAACAAATCAGTTAAAAATGCTGCAGTTTAAAAATGTCAAATGGTTCTATGATTTAACTATCAACTTATTTATTTTCTAAAAATATGCCTATTCTTTACCCTAGATATGATATAAAATAATTACATAATTTCTTAAGCAAACCAATACCAGTTACAATTTTGCTTCATCTTTGTGCCACATACCTTTAGTTCAACAGTAAATTGTAATCCCCTTAATCCATATAGATTTGACTCAAATTTTAGAAGATCTGCCTGGGTAAGGGAGTAATTTTTTTCACATAAGTAACAGAGGTAGCTATCTTCACAAGAGCTCCAGTATGGTGGGGTGAGTCTTTTTGCCACAAATCAGCCCCACCCCCTCTGATTCCCTCCCTTTGCTTGATCTGCTGCTCTGCTTTCTGCCTCCCAGCCTTGCGAATCCTGCCTGATCTGCTGCTCTGCTTTCTGCTCCCTGCCCTATCTGTTGCTGGGCTGCCTGTTCTCTCCTTGATCTGCTGCGTGGCTTTTGGTGAAACAGCCCATCCCATTTGCAGAACTGGAGCAAGCTATAATAGTGTACAAAAATCTCCTTGTATGTGCTGCATCACCACCAGGTGGGTTTCCTGATACAACCATAGTAGAATACCTGTGGCAGCAAACTCTTAAGCAGACGAGCCCTCAGATTTTAAAGAACAGGTGTGTAATTGCTCAATACTACTCTTTGGAGTCTTTCAAAAAGAAGCTGAGCCACCCTCCTACAGTTCATAGAGCAATAACATTTCATGGACAATGGTATAAAAAGCACACTGACATCTTTAAATATTCAGCACAACCTCGTCATTTCTGTAGATTGTTGGGAGGTTACCATCACCTAATGTAATCACCAGTTTCTGTGCTCTAAGTCAGATCTAAAATCTAAATGATTGGGGCCAAGGAAATGCAGATGACTGGACTGAAATTACCTCATCACAACTGTCTGAGGATTGTCTCACAAAAGGAATATTCAGGACAGAGCAACAATTAGACAGGTTTTTTGTGGCACTTTATGATAATTTAAGTAATATTTGAACAGCTTCAAAACAAGATGGCATCTTGGGCTCCTTATGATAAATTGAAACTTGAGGGAGTTTGAAAACAAGTGCCAATAATGATAAGACTATGGAAAAACTCTAAAATGAAGTTAATACAAACTCAGGTGTGCTTTACTTAAGGGACAGAGAGAGGGAACACAGTAAATATATGCAAGATATTGAATGGTAGAGAAAAGGTCAGTTGGACACTTTGATTTATCTAGATCATAAACAAGGAACATTTAATGAAATATAAAGGTAGCAACCTCAAAACAGATAAAAAAGGAAATACCTTGTAACACAACACATAATTAAACTGCAAGTTAATGTGAGATAATGTCAGAATTCAGGGAGAGCTGGAATATTTAAACTAATCAGAATACACAAAGTTGTAACAGAAAACACACAAAAAGTCTTAGGAGGCATATCCATAACACATTTATTATGGAGTAAATTTACTTTACTCCATAATAAAAGTGGAGTGGACCTATGGCACACTGTACAGTGGTATAAATCATTCCACCCTGTGGTAAAGTTAGCCCTCAGAACGTGAGGGACAGGTATGCTCTGGTGTAAGTTACCAGTCATGGCTCCACTCCCCTACTAAGTCAATTTCATCCGGGGTAACTTTTTTTGTTCAATGCATATTGATTTTCAGTCGCTAGGTGACCAGGCAGCCAGCTTGGGGGAGCTGGTCACATGTCTATTTCATACTATAGAGTAAGTTTATGTTGGAATAAATTCTGGGGTAAATTACTAAGCAGTAATCATGTTTTGCATCCACCCTCTCATGATTCAAAGCTTAATCCTCCTACTATAACAGGTTAGGAGCATACCCTCCTGAGGTAGAAAGTATCCTGCACCTTCCTCTGATCTGATTGTTGTCGTCGTCAGAAGTAGGATACTGGACTAGATGGATCACAGTTTAATGTAGTATGTCAACTCCTACATCCCTAGGATGACACTGACAACTCTGCTAACACTCCCATTGCCTGCAAGCCAGCTTTCGTGAGCCCAAAGGGTCAGTGATCTAAGTCACAGGCTGTTGCTTGGAGTTCTCTCATTTCAGTCAGTTAACAATGGTGGGAGCTAAAGGAGAAAACTCTTCATTTGTTCCTTCTTTCCTTCCATGTGAGAACTCTGTTATTAAAGAACAGGCAGTCCAACTCTCCAAAACTAAACTCCTCATATTAAGAATCAATCAAATCTATTACTGGATGGCTACGTCTCAGATTCACACAGGCTGTTCAGCATTTGGAACAAGTCCACTGATTAGATAGAGCGAACAATATAAATTCTCATATGTAGGAGGGGCATACTCTATACTCTTCCCCCTTCTTATAGTATTTGATATTGATTGTATTCCAGCTGAGTTGGTTGTTGCTGGATCGCTGACTAATTAAGCCTTCTCCTTCACATTTCTACTTCGTGCCATCTGTAGATGATGCTAACATATGAGGAAGATGACAGAGAAAACTATGTGAAGGGTACCAAGGCTATATATAAAGCATACCATTCTCCAAGTACTTTAAAAAACATGTATGGAACCAATAGCAGCAGTGTAATATTCATAATGGTATTCCTATGTCCATTTAGTTCTTGACCTCTCTACTTATTTGAGCCCATTATTGCCAGCTGCAGGAGAGAAGTGGACTGAGTCCACCAAACTCATTTCATAGAGGACATAGGGTAGGAGTCATATAAACACCATGAGACAGTACTGTATCAAGTTTTGATAGTTACTAAACTGGACTGGATTTCCAACCAGCCAAGTAGAAGAGAAAAGCACTAGATATACTTTTACCAAACATTATGAGCTGTCCATTTCCATCAAACATTTGGTTAAACTCCAAGCAACACAAAAATTTGTCACTGTAAGTTGTCTAGATAAGGTATTATGTGTAATCACTAGAAGCACTTACCGTAAGCTACCAATACATCTGAGGGGGAGGGGGAATCAAATATCATTCTTTGTGTGCCAATCACTTTGAGATCTGGCTCCCACTGGAGGACTAAACAAATATCTTGATAAACACATGTGGCATCATTTTAAGTAGATCATGGATGGATGTGCTTCTTTTAGTGAGTATGGCAATCTCAGCAAAAAGATCCTGATGTCATTCAAGAGACAGAAAACATTTTTGGCAGCATACGTAAGGCACAGCCAGGGGGAATTTCTGTTATATGAGAACTGAAAGCTATTACCGAGAGAACCCAAGTGAATGTTAACAGGCAAGCTGAACAATTTTGTCAGAAAGGGCTGGCTTTATTATCAAACTACTCTAATGTGAAGACCAGATATAAACTGGCAAGTTGTCATTTAGATGGACATTGAGAGAAGTGGTCTCAAGACAAGAGGAACACGTCTTTTGCAGCCTTTTCATGGGTAAGACTAAGGTTAAGGTTCTGATTCTGATCTAACATCAATGTAAAAAGGTGTCACTCCACTGAAGAAACAAGCTACTACACTTAACGTTGCTGTGCCTGAGACCAAAATTGGCCTTACATGTCTGTCAGGAAATCTACTTCTGGATGTAGAGCTTATTAGAATGTGTATCTTGTTATTAGCATAAACTGTAAGTCAGTTTTTCAGGGCTCTGTTCCTCATGAAACATCTAAAACTTCCTGTGCAGTGGAAAATCATGAATCAAGCTTTGGGCATCAACATTTTTATTCTAAAACTGAAAGAATTTTCTCTCTTAGGTTGCATGGCTAATGACAGTAGGAAAAACAGAGACAACCATGAAAATGTCTTTCTCCTCAGAGCAACTATTCAGTGCCACCCACCCATGCAGGGAATTTTAAAAAACTGCACTGACCTTTAAAAAGGCTCACTGAATATTACATAAACATCTGGGTTTCTTTGCAGCCCTGTTTAAAACCATCTTCAATTTTGTTCATTTAAAATAAAAGATACTGCTTTTCACTACTGTTTGGATTCCCAGATGATTCAACAGTCCTGTGTGTCATGGACACTGTAATAAACTTGAGAGAAAATGAGTTCTTAGTTCCATCTCACCTAAAAGGTGACACCTTCTTCAACATATTACTCCCATGCTAGGAGATATTACTGCCATGCTAGAAGACTGATTTAGTTCTCAGTTAAGAGTGAGAAAAGCTACTAACACTACTGTATCAGTTGCAGCACTATCTGTAACACCTGGATTTTTCTAATAGAATTCCTTCCTAAATACTGACCATCTTAAGCACAACTTCATTAATCAGATTTGCCTAAATTTCTGATTTTCTTTACCTGACAAAGTGTTATCTATTTACTTTTACATGGCTAACTCTTTCTTTCTTTCTTTCGCGCGGCCCGGGACCCCAGCGTGGCGCATGCTGTATAAGGTGCCCACCGCCAAGAAGACCGGCGACCTGCAGTGGCGACTCGTGCACGGCATCCTGGCCACCGGCACCTTTGTGCGTCACCTGGACCCAGCGGTCTCAGCGGCCTGCCCCTTCTGCCTGGGGGTGCTGGACGAAGACATTTTCCACGCGTTCCTCGACTGCCCCTGGCTGCAGCCTCTCTTTGCTGCCCTGGAAACGCTGCTTCGGGGGCTGGGCCGAGACTTCTCCGAGGATGTCTACGTCCACTCCTTTCCGTACCGGGCGGCCGAGCGGGCCACGGTCAGCCTGGCCAACTTCCTGCTGGGCCAGGCCAAGATGGCCACCCTGAAGAGCCGGCGAAACCGGCTCACCGGCGCCAGGATGGTCGACGCCCTGCAACTCTTCCGCCTGCTGGTGCGGGCCCGCCTCTTTGAGGAGCACTGGTCCCTGGAGGGGGCGCTGTGCCGAGTCGAGGCGGGACGCCTGGTCCTCGTACTGTGAGACCACTGGCGGCTCAAGCTGCAGAGACACGTCAAGCGGGCCGAGGCCTTGGACTTTTGTTCATGCGGGGCGACCTCTGAGGCCTCCATGGGTGTCCCCCGCTAGCAGGACTGTAAAAATGTCAATAGTCCGAATGTTCGTGGTGTGTGTGTGTGTGTGTGTGTGTGTGTGGTTTTGTTTAGTCTAGAGTGTACGGGCAGGCCTTGCAGGCCATGAGCCCAGGCCTTGTCCATGAGGCCCAGATATCCGGGCGTACCTGTACATGCTCTTTACTGGCTCCGAGTTATCACCCTCCCGGGAATAAATGTCTCTTAAAAGTCAAAAGTCTTCCTTTCTTTCTTTCTTCTATTTTCCAAGTCTCCCTCCTCTACCCCTTTTATATCTTTTCTTTCAAAGGGTCTATAACAGCAAATAAGCCATCAATCAACTGTGAATCAACAGAAAACCCCTCTTTCCTAGTACAGATATCAGTTGACTCTGCCAGATGTCATTAGAGTTGGACATCTCTGATATATGACCACAGAGAGGGAGGGAGGTTTAAATGGAATTGAGAGCAAAACCCTAGTTTGGTAGCACTAGTATGACAAAACTGTAGGCTCATGAATCAGCTATGTAGATGCAGTTCACTTATTACTGATGCACAAAGCCCAATCATATGGAAAAATGAATAAATAGTTGTGAGCGCTGTCATCTCAAAATATAGATGTATGTTTCATAGCTTTATTCATTAACCCCTTGATCTTACATATACAGTAGACCATTAGGCTAAATGTTCAACATGGCAACTTTGGGAGTATCTTCAACAAAAGTTGTGTACACAACTTCTTTTGCAGTATGCTAAGAATTTCTTCCATAGTATCAATCCTGCTCACATTTCATTTGATTAAGAACATCCCATAAATACAGCTCAGTGTCTATTAAAGTATTCTAGGTGGGTAGAATGACTAGATGTACAGGCTGACCTCTCATTAAAAGTTCCTACATCACTACTGCATTTTATCATGTTCCCTTTCAAAATAAAATATGCCATAAGGAGTCTCAGAAATTTTCTTCAAGCATCCAAAAGGACAATGAATAAGAGGATTTATGTTGGCTACATCTCAAATTGCTGTATCTGTAGAACTGCTATTCAAATATTTCATTGAAGAAAGACCCTATACCCTCAATTACATGAACACAGGCAATCTGTCTTTATTGAGAACAAAAATAATGAATCTGTACAATTAAGACAATTAGTTCACTCCTAGTTATCACAGTTTCAATGATGTTTCAAATTAATGTGACGCAAGATGTAGTATTAATGTGATCCATCTCAATAATATAAATGGAGCCCATAAGATTTTTATATTATAACTTGTACTGACAGTTTAGAACTAAAACATTCATAATATTTCTCAGTGTGTATGTGTATGCGTGCGCGCACACACGTGTGCCCCCACCCTCAAGAAAGGTTAGAGGCAACTTCTGTGATGCAGTAAATAAAGCACCTCTAATGTTAACTGATAAAACAACATTATAAAATTTTCTAAGATTTAGTAGGACCCACAGTATGAAGGCTCAGTCTGTTTAAAACAATAATGCCTTCCTCACTGACCAATGCATTTCTGATACAACTATTTTGCAAAGTGATGACCACTGCCTGACATTCAAAGTTTTGATTTTGCAACTGCCCCAGACCGCCCCATACACTGATGTAACATTCCTGTGAAGACACTGGAGTTCCTTTTGACTCCAAATGTTACCTGGACAGATCGAGTTAGATAATATCGGCTGTTTGCTTTAACATGATAAATACTGAGATACCTTTGACAATCCCTACTTTTTAATTTCTCTGCTTACCTTTAAAATCAAACTGGTAGATGTTTTTCAAAGATTCATGAAGAAAGTAAAAGCTTCCTAGAGCCTGTTGAAAAACAAAAATAAATCAGTGTTAAGAGTATTTTGCTTTGGTTTTATCTAAGTTTTGGATCCTGTTTTTCAAATGCAAAAAAAGAAGAAACTGAATACCAATTAATACAAACCTTAATTTTAAAATAAAGTGCACTTAATACTTTTTAAAAGGTTTTGTTTCACCTAATTTTCACAGAGTTATGAAGAAGCTTGTTAAGGACATGGATACTTAATATATATACTTTAAACATACTAAATGAACAGGTTTACTGACTTAAAAAAACTTCATAAGTTTAAATCATACTCAGAAATACATTAAAAAGCCTCTTTTCAATATCTTAAATGCATACAACTGCCATTGCTATAGTTTTATAGTCAAGGGAAGCATCATGAGCTCATGAATCTTTTGGGTTACAGGTCCAACAACATCTTCAATGTTTTACGAATCTGGCGGACAATTTCTGCCTCGTGTTCCTGGTGAAACAAATGTTTTTGGAGGCAGTGTGGGCTGAAAAAAAGGACACAGGATTTGGAATTAATCAGGGACATAGTCCTAGATTTGCTACTTGCTTACTGTATACTGCTGAGCAAAATACTTTACCTCTATTTCTCAGCTATAGAGTAGATGTGATACCTATCTCACAGGAATGTTATAAAACCGGCAAGGTATCCCCATCCAACAGGAGTGCTGTGAAGATTAATATATGTTTCTACTGTTCTTTCCTATTTTTAAATGCATCTTTCTCATTAAATAATGCATTAGGTACCTGCACATAATTCCATTAAATAATTTAAAATAACTGTCATTTGCCCATTGATTAAACTTATGTTTTTCCTTGTATTTGAAAATACATGTTGCTTCCTAAAACTGTAAAATACTATAATTGTGCTGTACTGTAACTGCACTACATTCAAAATTCTAGGTTTCCAATCCTCTTGTTAAGTGACTATGGCATATGTATTATTGTGGCTGCAAAAATATTCACTAACAATGATATTTTGTCAGCCATAACCAGCTATACTAAGCTGACACAGTTTGTAGAAGGGCCATCTGAGGTTGGTCATTGCCTCTACTGGTTCTTCACTGACAGTAAAGGAAACAATAATCATGGTATTCTCAATATCCCATCTTATACGGAAAACAGCAGCATTTACAATATTCACTGAGCAAGACTATAGGAGGTAAGCAAAGCTTTACCTATAATTGCTTCTCTTAGGCACTGGAACTTAAATCAGTCCTTCTGCTCCTGGTGGCCAGGCACATTGTTGCCAACTAAGGGCACCTGCTCCAATGCTTGCTAATCAGCATGCGTTGGAGCAGACTCAATTAATCAAGCTAGTTAGCATGATTAATCAAGCTAATTAGCATGCTCCAGCAGCCTTAGCGTCATGTGTATTCAGCATCCCCATGCTTCAAAATGGCAGTGAGGATACTTTAACTAAAGCTCACTGAATGAGCTTTAGTTAAAACGTCCCCACTGCTGTACTGAAATACGGGACATTGAATACATGAGATTTTGTGGGTGCTTTAGAGTGGCTCCAGGGACCCACTCCAAGTAAAGTATTCTCCTGCCCCCAAAACTCTGGAGCACATGCAAAGATGCCATTAGTGATTTTGTCACTGGTTTTAATTACAAAATGTATGTCTGAATGCATGTATTATGCATCCTGTAACAGTTTACTATGTAGAATACATCATAAACAACTAAGTGACATTTTTGAGGACTTCAGACAGTATCTCTAGTGACATCTAGTAGTTTTTTGAGGTTTGCCTAGTGAATTTGTTTTCAGGAGTTGGCAACACTGCCTACAGTGGATGAAAAATGAAAAACCACTATGATTTAAATGTGTAGGGCTGAGGAACTCTGAAAGGTAGGTGGGATTTCTAGAGGAAGGGACCAAGAACTGAGGAAGTAGAGATATGATTAGAATAGCAGAAAAGAGAAGGGCAAAGGTCCTGTAAACACTAGAATGGTTGTTCCCAATCTTTTGAGTGGTTCAATGCCACTTCCAGGCTTGGGGACCAACTGCAGCACTTATACCACATTTCCGATTCAAGTTAATGTGTAGTTATAGAATTTCTGTGGTATGCATGATTACACCTTTAAATGCTGTGACCTCCAACTGGGTTGTACCTCCTAGTCTGGACATCTCAGTATACTTCTCTAAAGAATCTGGAATTGAATCTATTACTCTTGAGTCTCAATTCTTTTGCTGTCCAAAAATAGCTGAAACATGTCCAGGACATCTGTCTCTCTCCATACACGCCTACAAAGAGATCTGTAAAGAAGTGAACAACCATCTACCACAGTCTGTTATGATGTTTGTTGAAGTGGCAGAAACATCTTGTAATCAAGCTAATATTGCAATATTCTTATAGTTCCATGGAGTGTCAATAGCATTTTAAAAAAATTAACCAAAGCTTAAGAAGTGAACCCCCTCCCACAATACTGGAGCATTCATGATGACATGCATAAGGGGGCCAAATTAAAATTGTTTAGGCAAGCTCAATTCTGGCACTTTCTAACTTGTAACTGCTTGGGGTGCTTGACTTCACTACCTAAATATTCTAATTCTTCTATTTTATTTTGGGGCATGGAGTATGAAAGGTACAGTGAAATTCCAGTTCCATTTACATCAATGGGAGAGTTACCACTGCCTTAAGTGGGGATAAGTTTTCATCCATAACAGTGGTTATCATCATCAGGATTGTTTTAATATCTTTCCAAGTGTACACTGTGTTTCTTGTTTTCTTCTAGTTAGTAAATGGGGATTTAAGACATGTTAGAACAGGTCTATAGAATATCAAGAAAGAAAGAAAGAAAGAAAGATACAACTTCCTCTAATAGATTTTATAGCTGAAAACCTAAATCTTTAGATTTTTCATGATTGGTAACTTTTTAATCATCTACCGAGTTAAGAGGAATCCGAGGAAACAATAGCAGGCCACAAAGTCTCACTGGCAAGTGTAAAAGAACCAATGCATTAAACAAAAAGGATGATTTAGTTTTGTTTCGTCTTTTTGCCTCTCTAGTGACAGAGAGACCCTCCTGGCAGAGTAGTGTTTTGGCTCAGTGATTGCTGCATTATTTATGAGAAGCTGCACATCTAGAGATTAAACATTTGCTGATTTGTCAAAAGCACAAACATGAGGTCCTGCCCATCTCCTTGACATATTAGTTCATCCAACGGAAAACACTGTCACACATTTAATTGATGAGTACACTTCCTTGTGACCCAGGCAGCCTGCTCCATTTTTTTATATGGAGGTGGCAAATAAGAAAAAGCAGGACATATTCTTGTATAGGACTCAAGGTTAACTATTCTGCAACAAGGACAGATTGCCATGGGGAAAATGATACAAAAAGAAAAAGTAAAAGAAAATAAACAGAAAAAGAAAAGAAACCAAGATCAGTTATTTAATTTCTTAATACAGTTTCATTAATAATAAAAGAAAATGCTACCTCATGGTTAAATTTTGATTATATTCAGGGTCTCGCTTTTTGCAAACCCAGGAGATTACTCTTCAAGAGTAACATGGTTGTAGACATTGGCCTTATAGAAAAGGTTTTTCTTACTTCACTCCATTCATACAGATTAAAATCCCTAACCAACATTACATGAAATATCCAAGCTAATTTTGGAAAACAACTAAGTCACACATGAAAAATCTGTTGATTAATCTGAAATACAGAAGGTTTGGTGTTTAAAATGCCTGCCCTTTACAGTATACACTGGTAACTCTTATAAGAAACAGCAAAGAAGGAGCTCAGTTTTGAGAAATTTGTTTGAAGAATACCTTTTTTGCTAAAATTAAGTTACAGTGAGGATAACCAAACAAAGAGTACAACAATGTGATATTATATTTCAAAACTGCAGGCCAAACCACGATAAATCTTACTTCAGAAGTAATTCTACTGAAGTGGATCAGACTTCAAAATAAAAGTACTACCCAGTGGGTGTGTCTGCATATGCACTTTAATGTGTATTAGCCTATTTTAACGTGCACTAAAGCATCACAAAAAAGCACTCTTTCGTTAATGCACATTAAAATAGGCTAATGCACCTTCTCCTAGTACCTCACAATGAAACTACTAAATATAATGCAAATTAGCAAAAGTGCATTAATGAACATGTAGACGTGCCCAGTATGAGTAAACTATAGCCTTGAATTATTTAATAATGTCAGATTGTAATATTCTTAAATTGAATAGTGCCTCACAACATGAATAGTCCCCATCCTGTTGAAATCACTAAGTACTTTCAAATGTAAGACTATCATGGTCCAGCCTTTAATTTTGTTATTTATTTAGAGGGACTAACTGTAATGTAAAGTTTACAAAACAAATATTGATTCAAATGACAATAACTGCAATCTGATCTATGGTACAAAGAGAGGCTATATAAAGTAGCAAATGGATCAACTCTTAATGATCCAAGCTAGTGAAGATTGATATGGAATTTCAGACATCTACTTGTACAGTAAATTTCAGATAGATCTGACACTAATTAAGTTTTTAAACCTTAAAAAAATACTTCACTGGAGGAATTAATGCTATTTCAACTCCTTTAGAAATGGACAAAAACTAGAATTTAGCTTTGACTGGGGCTAAAATTAAAGTCCTAGATTTACTTCAGTTTTACTTTATTGGAACAGCTTTGGATTAGCATATGATCATGAAAGTAATCCACATATGCACTAAGGGACTGGAATCAGGTTTCAAAAGCTATTATGCGCTTCACCTTTTAACCTGAATAATGGTCTTTTATTTAAATATTGTGTGCATGTTTCCCTAGGTTTTAGGAGAGTAAACTAAAACATCTGGAAACTCTGTATAGAATCGCATCACTTCTCAGCAGAGCTGGAACCTTCATTTCTACCACACAGTTGCCTTCCACTTGAGTTGATGGAGTAATTGATGTAGTAGGTTATTGGGATTTAGGAGACCCATTGTCCAGCCATTATCAGAACACTGCTTTCTAGTTGTAGATACGATGGTTCTATAGAATAAA